TTTTCTTCAATTTCATTATACCTTCAAAGCTTTTCAATTTGTTTATATGTTATTTATAATATAAATATTTTGTATTTGGCTTTACAGAAAGAGGGAAACTATTATTTTTCACAACAGATACAACAACTTATGACCCTCATAAGCGTACACTCACAATAAATGGGTCGGATGAACAACTCAAATCTTTCCCTCAAGGTTTATAAGAAAGGAAATAACCTCGTATATTATTTCCTACTAAAGAGAATGTGAATATTTAGTCGCCTCAACAAGAAGCTTAGGCATTAAAAGAAATAGTAATAAAACAACATATCACTTATGATTGTGTCAGAGTCGGACTTGCATGGTGGTGCAGCGCATCTGCAAAAGGATGTTAGGTGTTCCTAACATTTTTATTTGGCCTAATAATATGGCAAGGTGAACATGCATGACATGCCAACTAATGATTTACCACAGGCTTAGCCCTCTCTACTCATGTACAACTCCTTGAAACATGCATAGATCATAATTATAGATTTTAAAAGAAATTCCTATAATTTTAAGTTGGTAGCACCCGCTAAACACGAAAATCTACTTCTACTATGGTCTCATAAATGTTAGTTATACAAAATTTGTCGTAATTAACTTCATTGATATACAAGCCAAGGGGTGTTAGTTGGATTAGCTCGGGTCTTTAGTGTGCTTCCAAGTGGTCCTCGGTTCAAGCCTTGTGGTACCTCTATTTGTGAATTTTCCCTTCTACCCTTTCTAACTTTAGCAACAACAAAAAAATCTCCCAAATATTATCCTCTTTTATTAAAGCGTACGGGTCAATCACTCCATCGGAAACTAGACCATTGGAACAGATAATGTAGACGTGCAAACATAATTGATTCCACTAGTCCATGTCTCATGAACCACCCTATACCAGTCTTTACTACACAATTAATTGACTTGCAGCTTTGATGATTTGGGTGATAACTAGACATGGTCTTTAATTAATTATCATTTTCTTTATCTGATGGTTAATTATCTTCTGTTTCAGTATATATACAGGCAATAATTTATTCTTTTGTTTTTCTCTCATAATCATGGTTGTATGGTCACTCAAAAACAAATAAGCTATTTTAACGCACAATTGTATGGAAGATTCTTGAAAAGATAAGAACATAAGTTGACAAAGTCAGAGCCATAAAAAGAAGAAGAAGTCTTCACAATAAATTCACAAGTCTTCATCAATAAGTTTCAGAATTTGAAAATGTATCTCAAAATTCTGAATATTCTGGACTCCAAAATATTTGGTGTTTCAAGTTTGGATTACTAAACTTTATGTTAAACTAAATATGACATACCGCTTGGGATTGCTTCTATAAGAAGTACTTATGCTCATAACCATTTTTGTTTGAGCACCTTTATTAGAAGAAAATTGAAATTTTTGTTAAAAATACAAGTGCTTCTTAGAAAAACACTTTGACGGGTGCTTCTCCAGAAATGGCCCATAAGCAGTTTACATTTTTTCTGTCAAGTGTAGTCATAAATGCTTTTAATTGTTAGAAAGCACTTTTATCTCTTCCATATAAACACTCCCAAATAAACCCATAATGACCAAAGACAAGTTGTTCCACAAGAATATAAATACTAACATATCAATAAAACGAACTGGAAGTAACCCTTGGCCGAGTTGGAGTTAATTCATATAAAACATCTAGTTTTATTTTCTGGAAGGAAAAAAAATATAAGAAATAGACTCGATTTCTTTGTAAAATATGGAAAGAATTCATCATAAGAAGATATTAGATTCGATACTCTAATTTCTACGTTATGTCGTTTTACTTCTCTTAATTTTCTGATTGCATTTTTCTTTTAATCACAGACATCACTTTCTTAGTGCATATTGGATATCAAATTTGGGAAGCTGGCAGTAAGGCCTACAAGACAATCACAAAAGGAAAGTCACAGTGGCAATTGGATTGGCACCGATTTTGCCAAATTATTAAAATACAACCCGAAATAAGCCTTACAAAGTATTATATAAATATTTATTTGAGATATAGAATACTAAACCGCATGCACCCTTCTCCATGGCGCCAATTATGTCCGTGGGAAGTTGTTCCTGTTGCAACTTGCAATATATATGTTAGTTTGCTTGGTCATCTCCAACTGTGAATTAATGTTGGCCATAGTTACTGTCCAGTTGGAATTTTCATAAGTACGTGCTGGAGCAAAGCTGAACGCTAACTACCATTATCAGAGGGCGGACTCCGTGTACAACTATAGGATTATGTATAGAAGCTAAATGACGACTTGAAAGTGTGAGAAACGCTGACGCTGATATGTATATATATGTCTTTGGCGTTGGTTCAAAGACGACCCGGCCGTCGTGGACCGGATAGCATTGGAACAAACAAATTAGTAAAGAGGAAGAAACAAATTGACTTTACAAAGGGACAAAATATTTAGGTTTTTTTTTTTAAATAATTAATTCCATTTTAGCCAGACTTATTATACAAAAATCCATATAGCATGTATTTGGAGATAAAAACTCAAAACTAGTCACTAATTATTTTTTAATTGATTATTAGTGTAAAAGTCGAGGAAAACAAAAAAATTACAACAATGTCCGCGTCATCAACTAAAAGTATATACATGCTCATACATGGAAAAATAATACAACTTACCTGGTGATTTACGACCAATTTTGTAACTTTTCGGTTTTGATTTTCAATTTTCATATATTTTTTTAAAGCGTACAGAGAATGTATTGGAGAAAGGAAGATAAGATGGACGAATGATGGTGCAAGAGAGGTGAAAGAAAATGTGTTCATAGAGTACTACATATAATGAAAACTACAACTGAAAACACTTTTTAAATTGTTTTCATATATTCCCATAGAAAAAAAGTTTTTCTGCATAAATGGAGACAAAACTAATATATCATATATAAATACTTGCCACACACGTCCTCATCCATTCAATGATCATATCTCCATAGAATCTTAGTTTTTCTCTCACGTACCAACGAATCTTATAGGATATTGACTCGTGCTATCAATCTGATATTGGCTGGACTTTACAAAAGAAGAGACGACTCGGCGTAGACTGGAAAATTGGAAGAGGCAAATCAGTAAAGGGGAAGACCTTTTATTTCCCCTAGCTAACCATGACATGAGTATATCTCTTTTATCTCCCCCATCCATGCGAGTGTAAATGTGTGTTGATACATTGGTTTTTTTTTTCCTTCCCTTTTTTGTTACAAGCTATACATGAGTGAATTTTCAAACATACCACTTGAGCTACAAGCCTTTTGGGCTTAATTATATATTGTGACTCCATGATTCCTTGATGACAAATAACAAAGACTTCATAAGGCATAAAGTCATTTATTGATGAATTATTTGAGAGACCTTGTGTGGTGTACTACAAAGTGACAGGAGTCGTTTATTTTTTAACTTTTTGACATGGTGTTTCAAGAAAATACAAAAATGACGCCCACGTAATTGAATGGTGAAATAGCTTCATATTTAAGTGGCCTTTTGCATAGATAATCTTTGAGAGAATACATGAAAATTAAATAGTTCGGGTCATTGAAATACAATACGGAATAAACCTTATAAGATTGTCTCTCAAATAAGATATTTTAATAAATCCCTCACTTGAAGCTCCCTAGTATGGTCACTCAAAAACCAAGAAGCTATTTTAGAGCACAATTGTATGGAAGATTCTTGAAAATATAAGAACATAAGTTGACAAAGTAAGAGCCAAAAAAAAAAAAAAAAAAAAAGAAGTCTTCACAATAAATTCACAAGTCTTCATCACTAAATTTCAGACTTTGAAAAGTATTTCCAGTATCTTCTTTCATATCACTTTTCTTTTCTTGATTGCAAGACGGTTTGGGGAAGAAAGACTTTGGAGTTTTTCATGCACTTGAGTCAGTGTTTTGTCTCTTATTGAAATTGGAATGTTTGAGTATAATGAAATGAAATTGATAGAAGTGAGAGATTTCTTGGATTCATGGATAAGAAAATTCAGAGAAGGTTTTATTGTGTGCTTGAGTGTGATATACGTCCTACCTAATGCGTGTGGTTATCTTTTTGGTTATTTATTGCGCTTTGTCCTTGATATGAGTAGGGTGCAAGTTGTATTGAAAATTCCTATTGCAGCCAATTTGGATTGATACGAGTAGGGTGGAAGTTGAATTGGAAATTCCTATTGCCGCCAATTTGGATTCAAAGATTTTCAACTTTGGCACATCAAAATTAAATCCAATGTCCGAAAATTTCGAAAAGAATTGGATTGGAATGAAAATGTATCTCAAAATTCTAAATATTCCGGACTCCAAAATATATTGGTGTTTCAAGTTTGGATTACTAAACTTTATACTAAACTAAATATGACATACCATTTGGGATTACTTCTATAAGAAGTACTTATGCTCTTAACCGTTTTTGTTCGAAGCACGTTTATTAGAAGAACATTGAAATTTTTGTAAAAAATGCAAGTGCTTCTTAGAAAAACACTTTGACGGGTGCTTCTCCAGAAAGCACCCATAAGCGGTTTACATTTTTTTCTGTCAAGTACAATCATAAACGCTTTTAATTGTTAGAAAGCACTTTTATCTCTTCCATAAACTCTCCCAAATAAGCCCATAATGACCAAAGACGAGTTGTTCCACAAGAGTAACATCTAAATACTAACATATTAATAAAATGAAACCCTTGGCCGAGTTGGAGTTAATTGATATAAAACATCTAGTTTTATTTTCTGAAAGTAAGGAAGAAAAAAACTATAAGAAATAGGCTTTCGATTTCCTTGTAAAATATGGAAAGAATTCATCAGAAGAAGATACGGACCGGTCCGTACAGGGACACTTGGGTTCGTAATCAGTCCAAAAAACAAAGTCTTGGTCAGTCAACGGAGGGAAACAGAACTCATTGCCCCTACTTATAAATTTCACGAACTTGCCTAGTAACCCCCCACAACTTCTTTTTCACTAGCAAAAGAACCCTTTCCATTCAGTTTCTGCCTCACAGATCATCCTTATTACAGATCATCCTTATTTCTTGAAGGTTCTTCTTCTCTTCTAATCTATCTATTCACTCCTATCCAACATATAAAAAGGCTAGTTATGGCTGGACAGCATCCTGAAAATGTTGATTCGACCTTTGAAATAAGGTTTGTTTCTTTTATACCGATATCATTTTAAGAGGATTTAACTGTATATTTTAAATCACAGTATTATCCTATTTGTTGTGTGAAAAGTTAGCAGTTATGTTTATTGTAATTGTCACGTGTATTAAAATGATTATCTATCTATCTATCTTTTTATTTTATTTTTCTTTCTGTACACTAATTGAGGTGCGTAGTGAGTATCATAACATTTTACAAATATATATATATATATATATTACTTTTCATTTTGATTTTGGGTTAGATACTCTAATTTCTACGTTAAGTTGTTTTACTTCTCTTAATTTTCTGATTGCATTTTTCTTTTAATCAGCATTACACCAGGTATAGCTTTCAATCCGGAAAATGCTAAGGGGCAAGCACCACATCCCACATCCAAAATTGGAGGACTTAGAGCAAGGGAAAAATGGGAAACAAAACTTCTTTCAGCTTCACTGTGGAATAAGATAATTGTAATTTCATGTGTTATTGCAGTTTCCCTAGATCCCTTGTTCTTTTACATTCCATTCATCGATAAGGAAAAGAAATGTCTTGGAATGGACAAAAAGTTGAGGAATGTTGCTCTTATTTTGCGATCTCTCACAGACATCACTTTCTTAGTGCATATTGGATATCAAATTTGGGAAGCTAGCAATAAGGCCTATAAGGCAATCACAGGACGAAAAACACTCTGGCAAAAGGATTGGCAACCAACATTGAAAAAAAATGAGATAATTCCATTTGCTAAGAAGTTTGCTGGGTATTTGTCATGGCTCTCTTTCTTAACTGACCTTCTCGCTGTTCTTCCCATGCCACAAGTAAGAGATTTTATTTTATTTTATTTTTTTTGGGGGAGATTATGAGCTAGGTTTTTCGAGCTTTAAATTATAGATTTCTAACCCATTACTGTTTATTATGTCAGATTTTAGTAGTAGTGCTTTTCTTCAAAATGAAAGGGCCGGAATATTTGGAACACAGAAAGGTTTTGAACCTTTTTCTTCTCAGTCAGTATTTGCCGAGGATTTTTCGAATTATCTTATCATCTAAGAAACTTACAAATACTGGAATACGGGTCAAAGCCGTATTCAATTTTTTTCTGTACATTCTTGCGAGCCATGTAAGTTTTTCTTTTTTCATTTTGGTATTAAAATGATTGATGAACTTGAACTTCATTTACAATAAAAGTGACCATATGGTGCTGGCTTAATTGATGTGGTAATATATATAAGTAGAGTGAGTGTAGATGTACAATGCACTTGCAAAATTCAATTATTGAGCACTAGCTAGTTCCATCTTTATCAACTACTGTTACCACATATACTGTTATTTTATAGCTGAAAATTCCCATCTCCCCACAAGAGTACTGTTATTTTAAATATATATATATGTATATTTTTTCCAAATACATCTCTTCCCATTATGAACATCTTCCTCCCAGAGAGTTTTCCTTAATGTATCATAGTGTTTGTTATAATGCTTATGTACTGGTTTAACTTTTAGGTACTTGGAGCCTTTTGGTATTTTTTTTCCGTTCAACGAGAGACATCATGTTGGCACCGAGCTTGTAAAGGAAACACTACTTCAACAAATACTACAGATTATACAGGATGCATGAGTACCTTTTATTGTGATCCCAATACTACTTCAACAAATACATTTTTCAATGAAACTTGTGGTGTAGAATTTCCAGGGGACAAGCAGCCATTTAATTATGGAATATTTCTTGATTCCCTTAAGAATGATGGTAACACGGGGGATATAGATTTTCCAACCAAGTTATGCTTCTCTTTTTGGTGGGGCTTGAGAAATCTAAGGTTTGCTTGCACATACACATTTAATTATTTGACAATTTCAGCATTTTCTTTTGTATAAATATTCAAACTAAACAAAAATTCGAAGTCGTATTCGTATACCACTTTTCCTTAATTTATTATTAACTACTTTTCCTTTTTGATGTGATAACTAAACTTACAAAGAGAATGAATCCTTTTTTATTCCTAAATTCCTCTCATCGTACAAAAACTTAACAAACAGCTGAAGAAGGAAAATTAGATAAACAAATAAGTGTTGCTTTATAACTACTTTCCTCCACGAATCACTTTTAGTGTTACACATTTTGCTTGATCATTTGCTTAATTTTTGCAGCAACTTTGGTCCCAGGCTCAAATTAAATTAATATTAATAATAGAGTGGAAATAAAAATGTGATGGTTGGGGCAACAATATCATACAAGATACTTAACTGAAAATACTGTACGGCACTCACAACAAGTAATTATGTGTGGGAAAACTTCTTTGCAATCCTTATTTCTATCACTGGTGTGCTACTGTTTGTATATCTCATTGGAAATGTGCAGGTTGGCAATGAATCTCTCTGCTAGATATCTATTTAGTTCACGTTTATTTTCCTTCAGCTTCAGGGCTGATGATCATTGAGCTTCTAATTTACTGTTTGTGGTGAAATGTATGTACAGACATTCATTCAGTTGACAACCACAAAATCGGAGGAAATAAGGCAAAAGATTAAAAAAAAAGAGAGAGACTGGGAAACATGGATGGACAAAAATCGTGTTCCTGAAGAATTGAAGAAAGAAATCAAGAAAAACATACATAAAAAATTGGAAAAAGACAAAGATGCCGATCTGGAGAATCTATTCGATGTTCTTCCCTGGTATACGAAAAAAATTCTGAAGCGTCATCTTTGCTGGGATATTCTATCACAAGTAACTCTCTCTCTCTCTCTCTCTCACATAAATTATCAACATTGAACTTGTATATATGAATGAACCTTGTTTTGTGTTTAAATAACATATATTTATTTAAATATAAACAAACCCAATCCTATTTCGATCGGATCAAACATGATGTAGAATTAAGAAATAGGATTGGGATTTTCAGGATAAGGAATAAACAAACCATGGATAAATCCAAATATTATCACTGAAGAAAGTTGTGCTTCCTTCAAAATCAATTGACAATTAGGAGGTGATCCAACTCTTTATTCTTTACTTTTGTATCTGAGAGGCACTCTAAAATCACCCTTAATCTGTCTTATACACTCAAATCATTTGTGAGGAGTAGAGTGTGGGAGATGAGATGTGGAATGCCAAAGGCATCGATGGATTAATCTAAGCTAAACTATATATAAATGCAGGGACAATTCCTTAAGGTTATGAATGAAAAAGTGCTGAAAATGATATGTGACTATGCGACACCAGTGATGTTCCCCGAAGGTAAAAACATATTTCAAATGGGGCACCCAGTTGATCGCATGCTCTTCATTATAGAAGGCACTGTCTTGACCTACAGCACAACTAACGGTGCCTCCTCATCAATTGTCACCAAGCAACTTGGGAAAGGGCATATTTATGGAGAAGAGCTTCTGATGTGGGCATCGCCCAACAAATCTAGGGTTGACAAGCTTCCTACCTCCACCGAAATTGTGAAATGTCATACAAAAGTAGAAGGCTTTGCTCTCTCAGCCAAGGACTTGATAAGTGTAGCCTCCAAATGCCGACGCTGGTGGAACTTAAACAATGACCCTTGATTGATCTCCCACCTTCTACACCCAACTCCACAAAAAAAACAATCATCTGTTAAATGCTACTTGTTGTACTATATGCATAAAGGTTGTATCGTTCTTATGTCTAAAATTACCTTTTAATGTTACTATGATGACCTAAAAAATGATTTATTATGCACACATTTGTATGCTCATACCTCTGAGACTGCATCTAAATCAATCTTATGGCTTCTTCTGAAGCACAGATACATTTTTCTTTACTAATTCATCCTAGTTCTCTCTTTTGCTCGACAAACTCGAGCAACAGAAACTACAGAAGTAAGGGCAGTGCAATCAAATTAACCTATGGACTACCTAAACCTGCAGAGAGAACACTCACATTCATAAGCCACAATATGGAAGTAGATCTGTCTTCGAATAAGCTTTCCTCCCCTTTACTTACTTGCATCTTTCAGACACTATGGAAGAGCAGCAGAACCCCTTTTAACATCTCTTTAGTATATCACATCCATCTGCATACAGGAACTTTATATCAAGCGACAAGATCAACCTCATCACGTTCAGGAGAAGCCACATCTAATCTCATCATACTCCTATATTCATCCGGAACAGGTGCACCTGCCTGCACACATAGCTCCACCACAGCTGGAGCCTTGCCATAATACCTCTTTAGGTTGTTATCTAGAGCAGGACAATTTACGTCTCGGACATGCCAAACATAGTTCAGACCTACAAGATCTTCTATTGTTGCTTCTTGCCATGCATGCAAACCGTTACGAGATTGATGCTTTGATGCCTTGCACATCCTCACTTTGTGCCCCTTGGGACCCACCTGGACCTCTAAACAATATCCACAAGTCTTCACACTGTATTTCTCCATGATATTCTTTGCTCCGGATATCATCTCAAACCATGAGCCCATTGTAGTACTACTCAACTCGATCGAAGATTTCCCCACTTTATCACTTGATTTATCTACACAGTTAGTATGACTCAGTGAAGCTGAATTTCTCAAATCTTCCATATTAGTTCCTAAATCAGGATCTACTAGGGGATCAACAATCCCAGAATATGAGTTTCTATCCATTTCATCCATTTTGTTAACCACCTCAAAGTCCACAATTCTTCCTTCAATACAATATACAGGTCTCGTTCTTCTCTTTGTTGGGTACTCGTCAATCTCTAGACCAGCCTGTATACAGAGCTCCAAAATGGCAGGGATCCGTGGGATTCGATACCTCTCGTCATGCCCAACTCTTGGTTTTCCAACACGATCATAAAGATGGAAGCATTTAGGAAAGGAAACCACATCTTGAACTCCTCCCTTCTTCCAAACATGTGTAGCACTCCGAGAACCACTATGTGGGCCAGTGCAAGTTCGGATTTCATGACCCGCATGTCCAATGTGAACTTTGGAGCAAAACCTGAGATTAAAAGCCTTGTTTCAATAACACAATCAATTAACAAGGTTAGATATTCTGATCACTCAGTAAATCAACCAATTACTACAAAATACAGGTTAAGAATCATCATTATGTTAGCAATTCATATATTTTCAGTAAAATGCGCCCTATTTCTTTCCATAGACTCTGATTATCTTCCCAAATTAGCTGTATATCCGACAGTGCATGTTGGAAATTGCTTTGGCAAGTTGAATGCATCAAAGCAGTACACATACAACGTTGAGATTACAAGCGAGGAAGAGAATATGGACATCTACAAAAGATATCCTGCCTACATAATCTACACAAGTCACCGCCAGTAACTAACTGTTAAAACCCTAAAAGGATATAAATCCTTAAGCCAAATAATTGACAAAAGATATGCCCACAATGTACAGGGGACTAAAAATCACAAACTTCACTCTTACAAGAGATGTGGACAAGAGAGGAACCACAACGTATAAGGACGAGTAAGTCTAGTTTACTAAGGTGAAACTGAAAATTAGAGTTGACATGTGAACTCGTAAGCAAACTGAAGGAATGAGCACAAGCAAACATAAATAAAAGAGGCAACCTCTGGCTACCTGCACCGTTGGACAGGAACAACTTGAAGAAGCTTTGACAAGCCAAACAGGACCGATTGTCGAGCTTGGTAAACTTGATGAGCCACCTCAACCAATTCAGGGACCAACAATCCATTATCAGGAGGTTCTTCAATCATCCTACAAGGCTGGGCCTTTCGGGCTTCTTTCTCCTCCTTCGCTCTTTGAATCAAAACCTTCATGGGTGTAGGATAAGGCTTCCTCTCTGACATTTTTCTTGGAGGTCTTGGTACATCCGCATACAAAGGATCATCTGAATCACCTACTAAGGTAAGGGTTCTCTCCGATTCAAAACACGCCTTTTGATCAAGTCGACAATGAAATCTTGTAAAATTGCAAGTTTTCCATATTATTCTTCTCTGCATATTGTGTGGAGATTCTGCACAATTACACAAATTGAAATAGAAATCAGAACTAAAGTAGATTTATTAACAGTGCTTTGGGCTATCAGGATCAATTAATTCCATCTTTCTAAACTGAAAATATAGTTCAATTCAATTGAAATACTTCTGATATTACACCTGATATTACTGAATGCATCATCTAAACAAAAAGATTTGCCAAGCATTTTCTGACAAAGGCGCCTTATAATAGAAATAGGTGGTGGGAAGGAGGCAAAAATTCTATGGAGTTGTAGTGTGCTGGTAGTTACTTGGATAATTTGGATGGACAGAAACAGGAGCGACTGAGATTAGCATTCAGAGGGAAAAGAGAGATCGAACCAGGGCCCGCCAGGATCACAATTTTTCGGGCAAAAGCTTTGGCTAAATTTTTGTTCATTCAGTGAAAACATCTGTCAAAATTTCAGCAGCATCTCATCTGTATTTATAACATTTTCTCAAATTTATACACTCAAAGCCAAAGCAAGAATATGAAACAGCATCGAAAGGACACAAGATACAATGCGCTTACCTCTTCAAAATGACCAAATGCTGATATTTAACACCTCAAGCATCAACTTCCGAAGAAGACGAACTGAAAAGGAAGAAGAAGAGCCGAAGAATGGGGAGGGCTGGGTAACTGGTTACACAAGAAGAACTGGAGAAAAATGAAAATGAAGAGCAAGAACAAATCAAATGAAGAAAACGAAACTGAACAAGAGCCTGAGGAAGACGAAGAAGAGGGGGGAGGGGAGGACTGGAAACGGGAAGCGACTGTGAACTGCGGTGAAATTTTATTTTATTTTAGTTTTATTCTGATTTTGGGTTGGGCTTGCAAGCACTCCAGGGGAGAGGGAGAGAGAGAGAGGGAAAGGCTTTGCCAAAGTCGGGCTTAGTTGTGGACTGTTGTTGGGTTCTATTTCATACATTTCTAATTTTTCATCAGAACATAAATTCATTAGAAAATCAGAAAAATACAATTGAGAAATAATGGGGGTCTAATGAGGACATGATTATATACGTTTTTATACTGTATAAATATTTATAAAATTTCGCAACTCGATTTTGAGGAGGATGGTTTGAGACACATGATCCCAAGTATCGGGTAACTGCTCTTAACGACTTGAATTACAAAGCCTTCGAAAATTATATACATTCTTAGACAATATAATTTCTATAAGTTTGTAACATTTTTCTAACGTATACCCCATATATTTTGTATCTGTGACTGATGGTGGATGTATTTGGAGGGCCAGGGGGCCTATTGTAGTTGAAGAATGCCAAAATAAGTTATAGAAAAGTTCTGCATTAGACCCAAAATTTCTGATGCCACTGAAGTGAAAATTTGATTCTAAATTTATACTGAGTTATATATTCCACACTGTAAACAATATGGACTTTTTTCCCATACCATACATACACAGTAGAATTTCAATTTACATCAACAAATCATGTAACATTTACCACAACAGTAATTAGTTTTGCTTTTATCTTCATATGGGTCAGTTCTTAGCAGTCCAGGTTTCTTTAAAGTATCAGTTCTTAAAACCTACTCTGCTATGCACAGACTAGGAAAAAAGCACACCCAAATATCCTACCTCTAAATAAGCAACAGCCTGGTAAACACAACCTGATCTGCAGATAAAAGCTAGATGCATGTATGCATGAGTATACATGAATCAAATCTCACAAGCATCTGAGATTCCACTACATGTAGACAACAGCACTTCCAGGTCAATAGGCAATCAATATTGTAATAAGAGCAGGCAAATGATTATCTGCTGTTAAGAAACAAGAGCGATTTCCAAAAGCACAATTCCTCAAAACAATTTGAAAGGACTGAACTCCCTCATCTTTAAGTTGCTTAGCTTTATTGTTGATTACCTTAACTGCAAAGTATAATTTCACCCCCCGAGCAACAATAGAACCAAATTACATGGATATCAGCAGCAACAAAATATACAATTATCAGAAACGTATATCGGTAAGACTACTTACATTCATCTAGGAGAAGCGAAGTAGTCGTATAGCCAACCCATTTTTTGGGCTAAAGGCTTAGTTGGGATGCCACCCCATTTGGAGGAATGAAAGATTTATGTCAATTTCAGGAAGCCAACAAAAACTAAATCCATCCAATTTTTCTTTTACATGGAACCGCATAGACAGATTCTATCTGCTCGACAGATAATTACACTTAAAGCATGCAAGTATGTAATTAAGTAAAATTTTGTATCACGTACTGAAAACCATAATGATTCTAATCCTCCTCTTTTCACACATGTGCAAAGGCACACCTGCACATGCATGCATGCTCCTTCACAAGCAAATTCACACAGAGAATCATACTAAAGGCAAGTTGTGTTGCAGCAACTACATAAAGTCCATATTAAAGTTAGCATTGGAAGAATAGTCTCTGTTGGAGTACTTTTTCCTTTGGACTCAAATACTTGAAGAAACATGAATATCGCATAGAGAACAAAGCTAATTTCTACTGACACCGAATTAGGTCAAATATGCCAGCCAAAAGAGCTCCATATCAAAATGCATAAACTTTAATACACACTCGATGAAGATCTGATCTCACACTCATATTGCCAAGACATTATTGGGGGATAAAGAAACTTTATTCATTTTAAACAAGATAGTTACATAAAAAATTGGAATTGGGAAATCTCTAGTCCTTATTGACTTGATTTCAAGCTCGACAGATCAGTCTATAACCATACCTAACTGAACAGAGTACACATCATATGCATTAAACAATTTGCTAAACTTTACAGTTCTCACCAACACTGCAAACATTCTTGCTTACTAAGCAGAGAGCAGTTTCTTCAAGCAAAGACGTTACCCATCAACAATGAATTGATCATCTTGATTTTCTCCCTCAACCCTAGCATCCTCATGAACCAAACCATTCACATGGTGCAAATTCTGCATCATTTGTGATAAATAATGGTTACTAGCACTCGTATGATCAGAAGTCCAGCTGGATGAGCAGTCCACTGAGAGACAATCCCTAGTAACTGGCTTGTAAGGTTTTGTTGCTCATGAAGAATACGAGTCTGCATCTGGCCCATCTCTGCACGGTGGTGACCCAACATTTCGTCAATCCTCTTCTTCCATTCTGATCTCCTCCTATCCATCCTCTCCTCCCATTCCCTCTCATGAATCAACTCTTCCTCTTTTCTTCTTCTTTCTCTCTCTTCACTCTCCTTCTCCAATGCTTCCCATTCTAGAATCCTCTGCTTCTTCAACTTCTCCCTTGTCTTTTCTTTCTCCTCCTTTTTATTTACCCATTCCTCCCATTTCCATTCCCGTTCTTGCTCACACTCCATTCTAAAACTCTCACTCCTCTGTCTGTCCCGTTCTCTCTCTGCCTCACGTTGCTCAAACCGAGCCTCCATTTCCTTCAACTTGCTTAGTTGGTTACCTAGAAATCCCCATGCCTTCTTTCCCAACCCCATCGACGCCTCCCTCTTCTTCTTCTTCTTCTTTAAACTAGGACCATTTTGCTCCACTTCTTCGCACACAAACCTGTCATCTCCATCCTCCCTAACCCGATCATTGCCATTAAAATTCTCCTCTCCCTCCTCGCCATCATACTCAAATCCTAAACCCATCACTCCATTCTCAACCCCATCAATCCCTGCCCCGAAATCCCCATCGGAATGGCCCATTTGCCCAAAATCCACAAGCCCCATTCCCCTTCCACTCCCCACAAACACCCCACCATTCTCACCATCCCCATTCACAGATGCTATCAGTTCATTACCATTGCAATTCACGATCCCCACATCCCCAAAAACCTCCTTATATCTCAAGAAATTCGACCAATGGGTAAGGCCCTCCATCCAGTCAAACTCCTCCCCACTACACTCCCCACTACCACCACCACTGCTAGCACCACCGTCTGGTTGTTGTTTCTTGATCTTCTGCTTGACAAGCAGATATTGGTGCCTCATGTTCTGGACCTTGGTGGAAACATCCTTCCAAGACCATTGCCAACGGTAGGCAATTGGGTCTTGAACATGGTGCACAGAATTCACATAACAAGCGATGGGTTTAAACTTTTTCTCTCTGGTTTTCATCTTAGCAAGCGTCCCATCAGATACCATCTCACCGTATTTGTCAATCAGAGTTCTCTCCTCGGCCTCTGTCCACTTCTTTCTTCTTGAGGGCATCATTGAGCTAAAGCACCAATCTTTACTATCCAAACAATCCCAACCTTATTTCAGACCAAGTTGTGTGGCATGGAACAAAGGCCTAGAAGTCCAAATCCTACAGGCTAATAGCTAACAGCTAAAATTGGACATACCCAGATCGAGAAAGCATCAGAATTGTTCATCAAAGTAGAGAATAAGTTGAGTACTTTACTGACCTTGAGAAGGAGATTGCAAATCTCTGGTGGGCATTTTCTTGGAAAATTGGCAGAGAAAATGCGGGGAAGTTGTGGGAAAGTTGATGGGTTAGTGTAGTTGTATCCTTTGTTTGAGATAGTTAAAAGGACCAGACCAATAGTTCCAACTGCGGAGTTGAGAATTTTATTTGCAATCCACCAGAGTAGATACAGGTACAGCGGATTTGGTTGTCCGAAATCGTTTTTCTTTTCTTTTCTCTGCTTTTTCTTTTTTTTTTTTCAGTGTTTTTCTGTTATTAATAATAAAAGAAATGGTTAATTACACATTTCCACCCCAAACTTTTGGACGTTTTCCAATTTGGTTCTTAAATTTCTTTTGTCTCAAGTTGGTCCTTTAACTTTCTTCAAACTTACGGACTCACTGCCGTGCCCAACTTGCATAAGCTAGAGGACATATAACCACGATGGTTGCAAACTTGATGGAACACATAGCAATTTCTTGAACGTTACGTTGATCAAAGAAGATGGTTTACACCCCTCTAGTCCATTTCCTACTTTGACCCCATTATCTTTCGGTAAGTGGTCACTTGACCACTTCTTTCTTCTTATTTTGCTTTTGGTTGTTTTGGATCTTTGCATGGATTTGTAATTTTTTAGTTTCCACATCATTTCCACATAAAGGAAAGGTTCCTTAATTGCCTCTCTGGCTTTCACTCTCAACAAATTAGTTGGGGTCTTCTTACCTTGATTAGTGAACTTGGATGAAGGGTGAGTATGAAGCACTGTTCTGCATTAATAATTTATAATAGATTCCCCCAATAAGTTCTCTCTCATACAAGAAAAACTGTTAAAGAAAAGAAATATAAAAAAAACCAAGTATTGGGGAATCCCTACGAATAACAAACTGCATCCTGATTCCTGATTATATTTGCCTTAAAGAGGTCAGCTTCACTCCTTTTCTTCCTTTTTCCCTTTTAGACTTTGCCATCTCATGTGCCCTCATAAAAATGAAGTTTCTTTTAGCTAAATACTATTCCCCCAGTTTTGCACTTTGCATGAACGAGCATTACTTGCAGAGGGTGCCAATAACTGAACAACGATGCTGTACAGCTGCATAAACTTCACTATCTGTGGCTATCAGTATTTGAGGGTGTATCAACATGGTTAGGACTTTCGACGAGAGGGGGATCCTTATCCTTAGATGCATCATTTCCCATATCCTTGGTTTTGTGAAGGAGGAAGGTACCAGATAGAATTGTGATGAAACCACACAATTCAGTCACAATCTGTGCTCCATTTTGTGACTCCCAGTCCTGCAGTAAAAAGGAGCAACAACAAAAACCGAATTTGTGAAGCCTAAGATAATACTAATGTTTCAAAAGATATAATGATCACAATGAAACTGTACCTGCCCAAACAGTAATGAGAACAGCAAATTACATATTATCTTTTCCAAAATTTCAACATTTCAACATTTCAACTTCCATTAACCTAATGCTTTGGTTTTTTTGGTATTTGTTATCTGTCAGTTCCAGTAGGCTTGCATTAATTGGTATTGGGAAGTGCAAGCACTTGTGTTCTTCACAAAGAATGAAATCAAGTTTTACCATGAAATTTTCACTAGCCATGACTAAGGTTTTGGTAACTATATTTGATCAAACAATAGACTTCAAACATTTAAGGCATACAAACCCCTGAAGTGATCATAGACATTTTGGTCACCAATGTCATCTTATAACAAACTCCATTCTGAATGATGTCATTTTTGGACCTTAAATTGCATTGTTAATCACGGCAAAGCCATTCATTTACCATAACACTAAGAAAAGAAACCTGATCTTTATGTAGCATTGATAGAAAATGATTCTCATCCGTACTTGGAAAAAAAAAGAAACCAAAGCATGCAAACATTTAAACGTACATGTAGTAAATCACCTTAAACAAGATCACGCTGGCAAGAATGGTGAATATTGTAAACATAACATAGTAGACTGGAGCTATAATAGCAGTGTTAAAGGTGTCAAGAGCCTGCAAAAATGCATCAACAATATAAATTAAGCATTCACCTAAACACTATATTGAGAGAGACAATTAAGACTCAATTACATGCACAATATTGAACACTAAATAACTGGTTTTTCAGAACTACAACTGTAAACATAGTTTTAAGTTATGTGCAATCTGCCATAAGAATGAAAAATTATAGCAAAATCCATTGAATGAAAATTAAGGTTAAAAGATCAGAGTATTCCTTAAATATCACATCTTAGTAAACACCCTAAATGAAGTTTCATAACTTTGTTACACAACTTGCCAGAAAATCTTAAGAGTCTACTTGAAAAGGTTTTCATTTTATATATGCTTCTCCATCAATGGTTCTTAGAGCTGCCGGAACCAAGAATTAATATTCTGAAACCACAGTTGAAAATTTTCTCCAAGTCCAACCAGCATCTAAATTTTCTTCTGAAGCTTTGGCCTGTGGTTCTCAATTTAGCAGCGCCGCATTTTGACCAGGTTCAAAAGTTCGATTATTTTGTAATTTCAAATTGTCCAAACACTAAACCAACAGCTCTAATTAGCTTTGTATGTAAGATAAACTCTTCCATATTAGTTACAAGACTTTTTCAACTCTAGCACCAAGTTGCCTCCAGGATTAATACCAGTCTGACTTATAAATCCTAAGCAGAAAGTTCCCTAGAATGAAGTACTTGTAACTATTGGTGTGATTTGGAAATTAATTATTAAAGCAATATCATATATCCCACAACATACTGAATCGGTATG